TTTCCCATGGAAGATGAAAAGCTTGTACCCTCCATGAGGTTATTTTTCATGGCTGAGCAACAATGGCGAACTGTACATACAGTTTTGCCATATGAATTGTGACAAAATGCGAATGGCAGTGACTTCCTCTGCTCTCTCTCTCTCTCTCTATTTATCTCTACCTCCCTCTCTCTCACTCTCACTCTATCTATATCTCATTGTGTCTCTTTCCACGAGTTATAACCTCACTTCACTTCGCTCCCTCGGCCAATTTTCGCATTTTTATGCATGTTTTGACATGTTCAAGCATCGTTGGCGTCACTTCGCGATGTCAGCCATGCAACGTTTTATAGTCCATATATGTATGTTTTCGTATATACTTTATACATATGTATATGTATCTGATCTGACGGGACTGCACGCCGTTGGTGGGACATTTTGTCTGCGGCTGGCTTTTGTTTCCATTTCGCTTTTCGCATTCCGCATTTCGCATTTGTTTAACAGTTAAATGGGCATCATCGACGACGCTGCCGGCGTCGCCGCGTCTCGATAACAATTTTAATAGGCCATTTAATTTTTAATTAATTCTTCAAGCGCCAGTTGCCATGTCATAAAAATGTTTGCTGTCATGTTTGTCCAATGTCCTCCGTCCTTCGTCCCACGTCCTCCGTTCACTTATCATTTGCCATCCGCCAACCATTGATGATGATGTTTTTGGGGCGTTTAATGACATGTTTTTGTTTCATTTCGCCCTCGACGGCTGGCCCTGCATATCATTATTATTATTCCGATATTTCTTTCTGCCCACACCAAAAAAATAATCCGCAATTTGCTTTGTTTATTGAACATTTGTCTATTTATGATGATAAGGGGCGCGCGCGCGTGTTTTTCTGTCGCAATTTCATTACTCAAAACTTGCTGACGCACACACACAAACAACAAAAGATACATGGGAAAAAACATTTTCTTTCCGTTTTTATAACCACCTTTTTTTGAACGAAAATAGTCCTTACCAATCATTCATTTTCAACGCGGGGAAACACAAAACTAGTTATTGCAAAATAGGACTTGCATTAAACGTTGTTAGTTTTTAAGTACTTGTATAATAATGCAGTGTTATTTGAAAACTTTTTGTTAGCTTAGTACGTTTTTTTTAAAATTGAAAAACATTAAAAAATGTAAAAACTATAGTATTAAGTATTGGGTCCTTGATTTTATTCGCATATTTAACAGCTAGTTTCTCTTCCCAATTTCGGTTGTTTTGTGATGGATATTGTAGTCTCTTGATGTCTATAGATTGATTTGATATCTATAAATGTTTATTTTCTGTGTATAATTTGTTATTAAAAAGGGAAGGGAAGGAAACCTCATTGCCCACTCGACCATTGCTGCTCGACCTCGAGTTCCATTGGTGAAGGCCACCTAACCTTCGACATTGCGCCTCTCGACCACGTTCACCCACCGCCCACCATTCACCCTCCCCCTCCCCCTCCCCCTTACACTTTCCCTTTCCCATCCCCTCCTCCTCTTCCCCCAATCAGCATTGTTTGGTTTTATATTTGGAAATTTTTGTGACTCTCTTAATAGCTTTTTGTGAAAATTAATTTCTTAGCTATTAGAGGCTCTTGTCGTCTGCACATCCACACCAACAGCCACCCCCCAGAACCACCCTCGTAACTCTCTCAGTGTAAGTGTGCGAGTGTGTGTGTGATGGAGAGTATTTTGTAATTACTTTATGCCCGAAAATTGCCGTAGTAAAATATTTCTCGCTGGTTTTTGGCTTGGATTTTACAGTCGCTTTAGGGCAGGACAAAAGCTTGAGCTGAAATCGAAAAGGGGGAATGGTTTTCCGAGGGCTTCTTCTGGGGGCACACATTGCCCCAGTCGACCCTGTGGATTGCCCTTTGTCGGCGGCTTGCACTCAACTTTCACTAATGAAATCAAGTGCCTGCCCAGCCACCGAATGTAAACCACTTTCAAGCAGGCCATTTTACTATATAGCATATATACGGCTCAGATCGCAGACTGGTCAGGTTTTGGTTAAATACTGACAAGTTATATTTGCATTGGCTGTAAATACTTTAAATGTGAATAGCTAAAATGATTTCTTTCTTTATTTTTCCATATTAATTAAAAATAGTGGTCAGTAGTGAGTTGTATCCACTATATTAAAATCAACAGCTTATAAATTAAAATGTTTGGGCACTATTTACAAAATGGCCTTTCGCATATGCAAACAATAATTTATTTAATCATGTTATTACATTTATGTTTGTGCAGCGATATAAATTAAATTTTGATATAATTTATAAACGAATGATGACAACTAAATTAAAAGATGGTGATGAGTGGCAATAAAATGAATACTATATCATACAGTTAGGTCAAAGAATGGTTTTACAAAAAATAGTAAAAAGTAGGTGTATTTTGAAATAAAAAAAAACCAACAAGAAAACTTTCCTGCCAAATAAGAATAATATATATTTTGTAATCCTGCAGATCACGTTTATTGAAATAATTTACCCTTCCGGCAGTTAAAAATATGTTGCACTCGACAGTTTCGTTAACATGCCACGTGTCAAATGACTAGTCCAAATAAAATGCCATAATAGCTAAATCTCCCCAGGAACAAGGCCCTCAAATGGCCCTCCTAAAACCGAAGCTGACCATGTGGTCGGACGTGTGCCCTTAACCCGTTCTTGCCCAACAGTGCCATTACACACACCACACCCACACCCACACCCACACCCACACCCACATCCACACCCACAGCCTCAATCTGCGATCCCAAATTTCAATCCCCCAACATGGAAATCGTTTTAGAGCTCCCCGCTCTGGTTAAATGTGTATATGGCATGCAGTTTTGGGTAAACTTTCCCCGAAAATGGTTACGCATAATTGCCAGTTTTTGCTGTCTGAAAAAGGGGGTGGCAGTGGGTGGTTATTGTGCCCCTTTATCCGGTAGAAATCTTCTAGTTAGTTTGAAAAAGGGGTGGGGTGGGGAGGGAGAGATCGTAGAGGTCGACATGTGTGCGTCGTTAGTTAGTTAGTTATAACTACATACAATTTTATGGACGCCATATTGTAAATGTTATAATTTTCACTAACAATTTTTAGCAACCGTTGCCCTCCATCGTCTGCCTTGGCAAAAAGTGGGCGTGGCGGCTGTGGGCGACTACCATTTATGAACGATGGCCATGCGACGATGATAATTTTCAACAACTTTTCCGTAGCGTGTGAAACACGGAATTCAAGAGGGTCTGAGTGGGCACTGGAGAGGAAAAGGTGGGGGGGCGGGGAAGGAGACTTTATGTTCCGGAAAAGCCTACACATGCAGCACAATCCCCCCCAATCCCCACCCCGCCATGCACTTAAACGTGCTTGGGATTTTAAAGTATTTCTTACATTACGGACGAAAAGCTTTTTCTGTGTGTTTTTTAACTCCGATTTTTGTCGTGCTTTTTTCCTATTGTCGTTTGGTTTTATTTTTTTTGTATTTTTCTGTAATAAAATTTAATACATACAAAGACACACACACAGGGCACACTCTGCACACGCACAATTTTACTCAATTATAAAAGTTTCCACATTAAAAGTTCATTGCAGAGCCGAAAGTCTGGGCGAAACGAAAGTCCGAGGCTGAAAAGCAGTGAGTGGAGTCGTTGGGTTAGGTCGTGCCCACAGGCAGGAAGGCCTAGGTCCTGCCACAGGTCCTTATTCTGGTTCTGGTTCTGGGTTCCAGTCTCCTAGTTTACCAGTCTACCAGTCTCGACTCCATTCCCCTCCGCCGTGCTCCAAATCACCGGGTCTGGGCAAACAACATCAAAGCCAAAGTGTCTCCGACAGAAAAAGTTACGTTTTTTTTTTTCTATTATTTTCCCTCTTTTTGCGGCCAGTCGGTGGAAATGGGAAAAGGGGGTCGGAGTCTGGCCAAAAAAGGTTGTTGTGCCACATGCACATGCTGCCAACTACTCACAGTCCCTGTTTTCACAGTTTAAATGGGCAGGCAAACGACTCTATCTGCTCCTGCTAATCTGTATCCCCAGCATCTGCATAGTAGGGCCTGCTAATTAGATAAAGGATCAGGAGCTGGGCACTGAGCACTGAGCACTGAACACTGAGCCTGTTAAACTGTGAATGGGATCACGTGGCAATGGGTGCTTGCTAAAGCAGTTCAAGTGACAGTCGAGTTCACTGATCCAGCTAACGAGATTTCACTGTTTTGCTAAGCGGACGAGCTTGAGTTTATCTCGGCAAAAAAAGTTATTAGTTAAATTCATTTTAAACAGGTCATAGAATTTTTGAATTGGGTTCCTATTTAACAAAACACCCGAGTTCTAATTTATTGTTATATCCTTGCGGAGGTTGTTTTGCAGAAAAGAGGCCAAAAACCTGCAGTTCTAAGCGCATAAATTTTCTTACAGATATCCGATTAAAAATCGGTATACTTCTAAATGATCGTAGTTTAATTCTCTAAAAATCTGTGTTTTCAACTTGGTTTGTATCTTCGGGTCGATTTTTCCTAATTTTCGAAAAATGGCTCTGCTGAAAAGTGACCTAAAACCTGCACTTCTAAGCCCATAACTTCTCTCACAAAAATCCGATTTCGAAGTGGCATACTTCTAAATAATGGTGGTTTAATTCTCTACAAATGTGTGTTTTCATCTTGGTTTTTATTTTTGGTTCGATTTTTTGTCACTTCCCAAATTTTTGACAAAAAACCTGCAAATTTTTTAACATGGCAGTAAATAATGGATATCAAATCAATTTATATAATGTTGGTAATTATAATGTTCTTGCTTGACTATAAGAGTGTATGAACAACTGTTAAAAAAAGAAGGTTGGGTTTGGCTATATAAAGAAAACGTTTCCGTCCTTATATTAACTGGGTATATTTAATGTGAAATGTTGGGAAAACATTACACTAACGGATAGCGCCGTTTACCAACCTCATTTAAGCCCATAAAAACTTATTTAAAGAGAGAATTAAAGCCCGTTTTCGTTTCTTGTGTGTTTTCCAGGCTACGGCGGCATCTCGCCCCGGACGCAGTGGGGTCGGGTGGCGGCCCTCGTGTACGCCCTGTTCGGCATCCCCATCGTCCTGCTCTATTTGTCCGCCATGGGCGAGGCCCTGTCGGCGGGCATGCGCTGCCTGTTCCGGCGCCAGCGGGTGAAGGGCGGCGTGGGCGGTGGTCCGGGTGGCGGCGCCGCCGGGGGCGTGGCTTCGGGTGTCGGCGGCGTCGGCGCTGGCGGACGGAAAGCGGACAAGACCAAGGGCCAGGGGCACTATGGCCACCAGAAGCTGCATCAATACGGCATGCCGCCGTCTGTGTACCAACAGCAGCAGCAGCAGGCGCAGCAGCAACAGCAGGCGCAGCAGCAGCAGGCGCAACAGCAGCAGCAGGCGCAGCAGCAGCAGTCGCAGCAGGGCAAGAAATCGCAGGGCAACCGACGCGGCTCACCCAGTGTCCCCATCTCCATTTGCGTGTGCGTCCTGCTCTGCTATGTGAGCAGCGGGGCCATCCTGTTCCACAAGCTGCAGAACTGGAGTGTCCTGGAGTCCCTCTACTTCTGCTTCACCTCGCTGGGCACCATTGGCTTCGGCGAGATGGCCCCCAATGGAGCCGTCGCCCTCTACACGGCCTCCGCCTACATCCTGGTCGGCATGGCCGTGGTGGCCATGTGCTTTAGCCTGATCCAGACGGAGATCGTCCTGTGGCTGCGGCGGTTCAGTGTGCAGGACCATGTGATGCCCAAGGCCGAGGAGCTGGCCCTCGTCACCGTGGCCGTGACCCCGAAACCCTCCTGACAGCGACCCAGCGCGGATCCGGTCATGGGAGTGGGTGTGGGTCTGGCCGGTGGCCTGGGACAGCCGCAGAACAACTTGGGCCAGCATCAGACCATGTTCTTTGGACCGGCGCATACCCTCACGCAGTACAGCTCGCTGCCGCGAAGGAGCCACCTGCAGGCGGCGAATAATCCCGGCGGTGGGGGATCGGCCTTCCAGCGAAACACGCCCATCCGGCGATCCACGGGCATACCGGAGCACCACCTGGAGTACTTTGTGCCGCGCAGCATCAGTGAGTTCAATCTGTCGGGGGTGGGCGATCTGGCCCTGCCGCCGCCCCGTCGCTTCTCGCCCAATATGGTGGGCGGCGGCGGCATGAGTATGGGTGGCATGGGCATGAATATGGCGGGCATGGGCATGGGTATGGGTGGCATGGGCATGGGATTGCCGCATGGCCTCCAGTTGGGTCCGCCGCAAACGTTGCTCTGCTCGGCCACGCCCACCGTGCCGCAGCAGCCGCCCCCGCCGCCGGCTCAGCTGCAAATTGTGACCCTAAAGCCGCGCAGCGAGAAGATGGTGACCTTTGAGGATGAGTCAAAGCAGGCGATTGGAGGAGGAGGGGGAGGCGGAGGAGGACCGGGAGGAGGAGCCGCCTCGGGTTCGGGAACCCCACCACATTGTCCGCACGGAGTGCCCACAACTCCGCGGAAATCGCCGGCGGTGGGCGATATATTCATGTGACCAGGACCCCAGGACGAGGCTGCCCAACTGGATGCGGCGATGCGATTGCGCGACAGCATCGATGATGCACTGTGCCCAAAAGCTGGACCGGCGCCAGGTGAAGTGATACGTGTCTAAACAAAATGAAAAGCTAAATCCTACCCAAAGAAAGCACACTGTAAGTAAATGCACACACACACACACATGAAAAACTCCAAAAGAAACGTAACTCTTCCCCGAAAAAAAAGCATAAAACTAAATAAAAAAATTCATTGCCTACTTTTGAGGGCCACTACTCTCAACTTGAAGTTCATCGTGTTTTTCTGCATATATAAGTATAAATAAAACATTGAGCAAATATTTATTATTATGTGTGTAAATATAAAACAAAAACCGCAAAGAAAACAAACAACTAAAGTTGAGTCGTATGTTGCGACCGAATGAGAGAGTGAATTAAAATTAAAATGATAAATGCATAAATAATTGAATGCTGTATAAGGGCGTTTTACAGTTAATGCCGTAAAACACGAATCTAGAAATTAATAAATACACTCACTCACACACACACACACACACAGCTATGAATAATAAATAGTGCGTGGGCGTCGGTGGGCGTGGCATTAGAAAGGAGTGGCAAGTAGAGCAAACAAAATGCAAATGAAAATGACAAATTGTATGAATACCAAAGGACAAAGTTTATTTAAGCGATTTGTTAGTTAGTTGCTTCAACTCCCTCACACATGCTCATATTTCGCTCTGCATTTTTATTTTGTCGTTTCTGGGCGCGAAATTTCAATTAGTTTTATAAATTGTTTTGCAGACAAATGTACATTTTTAATAGAGAATTGTTTATATTTTTTGTTAAATAACGCAAATACAAAAACGTTTGTCCATTGTTGTTGCCAAACAACTTTTAATTAATGCTTTGCAGAGCAAATACTAATTTCAAGAACGCTGATTTATTATTACTTTTTTCTGATTTTCAACTGTCTTACTAACTGAGAATAAAACATTTATAAACCACTAAACATGTTTCCGGTTCAGTAAAAAAAAAACATTTAAACATTTTAAGAAATCGAACTTATACTGTGTGTATACTATGTACTTTATGCTCAAAGTGTTAAGTGTGTATATGAATGTATTATATATGTGCCAAAAGGAAACCGAAAGTATTATAACAATATATATTGTTAATATGTCTGTCGATTGCATAGATTCAACTGACGTTTAATCAGCAAAATGCCACGTACAAGCGATCAACGAATTACCAACGATTTATCCAAAACATCCGTGGTATTTAGCTTGAGTTTTTCGCTTTTTAGCTCGCGTTCTCCACCCATTTTCCATCGTTTCGAACCCGCCCACTGGCAATTAGGTTTAAATACTTTTTAAATGCATTTTGATTGTAGGTAATTGAGCGCGTGAATGGCCATTTGTTGTTTGTTTCTGTTGGTTTTGGCCTTGTTTTCTGTTTTTGCCGTGACAGGACATTCAAATTGGAGGGCTGTCAAGCGAGCGGAGCTCATTTGAACGCGTTTTTGTTGCTGCACTGCGGCGTTTCATTTAAAATAAATGCAATTTTAGCGACCGCCCCCACCGAGTGGGCGTGGTCGCTGGTTGCATTTGTTAATTTTTGCCATATTCAATTTGTGGCATTCAATTAAAATAGTGAAATTAATCCAGATAGGATAGTCATTACTCGTAAAACACAAAGCATACCAAAAAACAAAAAAAAAAAGAACAAAATGAAAAAGACAAGTGCATAAAAAATGCAGGACAACCTTAGATTTATGGGTTGTGAACCTGCAGAAACTAATTGCAAAGCTCCAACTTGTGTCATAGCATAAGCCAATTCAGATATATGTCTATGTAGTTAATAACTAACTAGCTAACAGCCAAACAGTAATGTAAAACTAAAGCGATAAAACAAATATTGAAACAGAACGAATGTAATTAAATTAAGTACACTTTAACACGCATTCAGAGACCCACAACCACAGACAAATTAATGCCATCAAGTAAACATAGAAAAACTAAATGTAAAGATACTTTTTTTTTTGTCAAATTCCTAGCACGGTAAGTTGAACTTTTAGGCTAACCGCATATGCTCATTGCGAGTGGCAGTTAAGGATAAATTACTCTAATTCATATGTACTCTTAGTCCCCTAGATACATATACATATGCATATACATATAGATATGTAGCCGTACACAAAACGAAACTAATCTAGCATTGAGAAAGGCAAATAACAAATAAGAAATACCGCAGTTCGCATCATATATATGTATGTATACAACAAACATCTCTCTCTTTCTCTATATATATATATACAAACCCAACCAAAAGAAAAGAGAAGAATAAATACATCATGAACAATTTAGTCAAAAATCAACAATTCTGTTTGTTTTTTCACTGGCGACTCGCATTTCCATATGCTGGAGGTCCTAAAAGGGTAAGTGATATATTTTCATACTATTAGGTTACTTATCTGCAGACAGAACTTTCACTTGATCCTGTGAACAACAGTCTCGATTCTGGAACGCCTTAAATAATGGGTCCTTAGATATTGTAAAAGGATAAAACACTTTCCTCGTTCAAATATATGTATTAATCTTTATTTAACTTTTATCAACTGCTCTTCTCAAATGCCAGCCACCGAATGCCGCGTCTCGATCTTTCTCTATGCTTCCATTCATTTTATCTGTGTCAGTGTGCTAGGCATACATTTTATCCTTAAATGCTAAGTGTACGTGCTAGAAGGGGATGACAGTATTATGCTTAAATCTAACGGAGAATCGATCTTATTGTTATACAGAAGTCTTAATGCGTAATTATAAATATATATGGTACAGTGGAACTTGCATGTATCTATACTGCTACAATATTTTCAAGAAGAATATTCTAGTGTTTCCTTTGCCCATTTTGTAATTATATAGATATATATATCTTTGAAATTCGGTGGGTTTGTTTTTTTAATCAATAATATTATTAATAAATTCAAAGTGTTTTCAATGTACACAGTTACATTTAATTTAAACTAAATTAGATTATATATCTTGTAGAGTTCAAGAGTTAAATCTTAGGCTTTTTACAATTAAATTCTTTTTTTTGGTTCCACTGATCAACTTATTTATGGCAGGAATTTTTCGGACTGGCCAGGCTCATGGAAAACTGAATGAAAATCATCAAAAAGAAACGGGCATCCGAAATGCGCATATTCATTGGAGCGGCAGAAAACCGAGGGGATTGCGAATATCTTAAATTTAAATGAAATTTACACAGAATCAATTTGCGCGTTAATTGATAAAGATAAAAACGGGATGATTGCGCCCCAAACCAAAAGTGATAGGCCGACCAATAAAAATTGCTCTCTTCCATCGCGGTGTTCTCCTTTTTTTTTCATTTTGAATTATTTAATCATTTAATTAGTGTTAATAATTTATGGCAAACAGCTTCGCAATCAATTTGCGTTTCTGTGTGTATCTTTGGCCATATCTCTGTGCTTGCGCATTTTATGACAACTCTGGAATGAAATTTCACTTAATCAAGGGGCGAACTCAGGTGTCCAAGCGAATGGCATTCTGCGTGTGGTAGTCCAGCTTTTTGCCACATCAATTTAATTTACTTCTGACAAATATCACCATATCCGGTCATCGCATTTGCCATGGCATTCCCCTCTGTCCTCTTGGGCCAAGTGTTTGTCGAAGCCATAGACGAAATGACAAAGCATTAGCCCATCAAATGATGTGTAATGTGTTTGAATGGCTCTCGAAATTATCAAGCCAATGCATACACATTAAAACAGTGCGTTGCGATGATGTAAGGTTATTCAATAAGCAGCATTCAAATAAAGTCGAGTTATTGAATTTTTAATATAGATTTATGATGATGATTAGCTGAAGATATTATTCTCTTATTTCTGTTTTTTCCCTCTATTTTGTTCTTTATTTAAATAAAGTCAATTTTTGAATTTGCTTGGAAGCTAGTGTAGTGTAAGTTCGAAATAAAAACATTACTTCTAAATATTTTAGTGTGTTCTTCGTTTCTTAATTTTCTTGGTTATTACTTAATGTTTGCCATTAAAATGTATAATAACTAAATAAAGTTTTAAGCGATACAAGTTTAAAGCTGTTAATGGCGAACCGTACTGTATTTTCATATTTGCATTGATTGTACATAGAGCCATGTGCTCGTTTCATCTGAATGATTGTGTGACAACACCGAAATTACTTCAATTTACACAGATGGAAGGGCATTAAATTAATTTCGTCAAATGACAACGAGTGGCAGCCTAGCAAAGCGGATTAATTCGGCCAGGTGAAGAGGGATCAGCTGGAAAATGGATGCAGGCGCTTCAGATCCTTGGGAGCAAGTGCAGCCGGAGCAGATAGTTAGATGGCTTAGACGGAGCAAAAACACCCACATATTGAAGTAATAAATTTCGCCTAAATGTTCTCTTTGTTCGAGTCATTAAAATCGCATTTGGCAGAGGAAGCCAGTCGGGCTTGTATTTGATGGCTCTCTGACGAAGATGTGGTTGTGTGACTCTGGGATGCGATGGGATGGGATGATGATGCTGATGAGGCTGATGATGGTCCCGATCTTCTTGGCAATGCGTTGCCATTAACGTTGACTGCTACGTTGTCAACACACTTGACATATAATTTGATTACGCATACGCATTTTATTAACTCATTTTCAGCGCAACCATCCGCCCCGTTGGCCCGTCGCAATGGCGATATGATATACTTACATGCGAGAGATATGCCCGGCCCAATAACGGTTACGTTTCGTCGGCTCTGCGGTTTTCAAGTGCCCCCCTTCCCGGTGCCCCTAGTGCCTCCACTGGCAACCACCCGACCCCCCCCCCATGTAAGTCGAACGCCTTCGATGGGTAAAGCATCTCTAGAAAACCCGCAGGCGGCGGCAACTAATTTCTTTTTACAACTGTAGTAGTTCTTCAGCTTTATGGAAAGGCAAAAGTCCACACATGCCCACACACGCTCTCCTTACACTTAGGCAAAATCTTAAGTGTTTCGTCCTTAAATCTGCTACAGTTCCGAAGCCTTAAAGCCAATGGAGATTAAAACTGTTCCAGTCGAGATAGCAGAACACATTCCAAGTACCTGGTCTTTAAATTGCACTTTAAGTCAGTTGAGATTCGGAAAACTGAAGGCAAAGGTGTCTGAAAGTATGCAATTATGTTGGCAATTGAAGGGTAACAGGATAAGTGAAAAGTTTTATACAAGTGTTTCAAATTTAAAATGTCTAGAGTCTCTCGAAGTAACCAATTAAAAAAAATTTAATAATAAAAATGATTACAGTCAATTTTTGTTTCTATTTTAAATCTGATGTAAAAACTAAATAAAGTTGGTTTTGTTTAGGTTATTTTAAATACAAAAAAAATCTGGAGAAAGGTCAAAGTTAGAGATTAAAATCAAAACTAAATATTTTAATAGTACCTACTTAAATTGAATTACATATTTGGGTAGTGGATTTTCATTTAATATGTTTTTAAATCTGTCCCAATTTTGTAGTACCTAAACATATATTAACCACGCCTTGCAAATCTTATTATGAACTGGTCAAGTTTTCTTATCGTTTTATGACGTTAATGCAATTTAGATACAAATTGGATTTCTGGCTCTGGGTTTGTCCAACCAAACACGACTATTACTTGATAGATGGGGCTTGCTTTGGCCTAGTTTTCGATCCTAGTGTTTTTTCTCGCCGTGCAGATGTTTGCAGAGCCCCAAACAGCTGCTGCCAAGCCAAGCCAAGCCAAGCCAATAACCCAAAGGAGAGCAGCCACAAGGAGTCGGAGCGAACTGTTTACTTGGAACAGACTGTCCTCGCACACACACACACACGCACATAGACCACACACGCACACTAGAAAGGACGAAGGAGCGGAGAAGCTTGGGAACCACAAAACTTATGCCTTGGCCCAGCAGCAGCCATTGAAAAGTCGTTAGCAAAACGTCAGACAACACACGGCATTTGGCCAAAAGGATGCGGCTGCTGCTGCCTCTGCTGCTCCTTGGGATCCTTGGAATCCTTGGAATAGGGGTACGGGTACGGGGTCTCCTGGCTTTGCAACTTTGCGGTGGGAAAGCGAGGGTCTGGCATAATATAGAGCTAAGTAACCAGCTAAACGGGCGCTGGCAAAACTCTTGATGGAGTTCGCCTGCAGAACGGGGCCAAGACAAACATCAACAAAATTTCATCGTCGTCTGTAAGTTAACCCTGACTCGGTTTGGGATTATGACGATTAAAGTTAGTGCATAAATGTTCCCCAAGTAACTAGATAAAAAAGATACCTGAGCGAGCATAAGTTTTCCCGATCGGTGGCAAGAGATTGGGGCACAATTTGTTGGGGTTGCCCGATTTTGGAGGGGATGAAGCCGCTCTGGTCAGTTGATTTGGGTTCCCCAGGGGAATTGTGTCCACGAATATTGGGACTCCCAATTGGAGTCCCATTAACCCGCAGCTAATATCGCTCGCTAAGCCCGGCTAATGGGTGAAGGAAAGGGGGGAGCAGGGAGATGCTAAGTCTTGCGCAACCAAATTAAAAGTCCTTGCCGCTTTCCTTTTTTTTTTTTGGGCCACTTCCGGTTCGGGCCAAGTGCAGCCATTTTGCGTACGCCTATAAATCTATTAAGACAATTTGGCACAGGCGAAGGCAAAGGCAGCCCAGGAAAGTCGAAACTTTGTCTATTTATACCCGTTACTCGTAGAGTAAAAGGGTATATTGTATTCGTGCAAAAGTATGTAACAGCTAGAAGGAAGCGTTTCCGACCCTATAAAGTATATATATTCTTTTATAGTTTCCGAGATCTCAGCGTTCATACGGACGGACAGACAGACGGACAAACGGACAGACGGACATGGCTATATCGACTCGGCTAGTGACCCTGAAGCCGAGTCGATATAGCCATGTCCGTCTGTCCGTTTGTCCGTCTGTCTGTCCGTCCGTATGAACGCTGAGATCTCGGAAACTATAAAAGCTAGAAGATTGGCATTTTGCATGCAGATTCTAGGAGTTCCTACGCAGCGCAAGTTTGTTTCAAAAAGGTGCCACGCCCCCTTTAACGCCCACATTCGCATATATACGATTTTAAAAATTTAAATATTTCGGAAAAGTAAAAATGCAGTTTTATTGTGTTTATCAATACCTATCGAAATGTGGAAGAAATTTTTCAAATCGGACCATTCGTTGAAAAGTTATGCGTGATCAAAGTTTCTATCTCCATCTCCATCGCACTCCCTTTACCTGAGTAACGGGTATCTAATAGTCGGGGCACCCGACTATAGCGTTCTCTCTTGTTTTTTTCTTCTTTCGTTACTTTTATTTTATTTTATTTTATTCTATTTTTTGGTGGAGC